GTTTGTATTTGATTAGACTAAAGAAAAAATTAGTCAAGATACACGTATGCTGACCCAAACTTTTCTGATCGATGAACAAAAAAAAAAAAGTCATGACCACTTTTAGTAACCCCTTTTTCTTTTTTCATTGTAATCCCCATTCAAACTACATGTGGATGTTATTTGTTATAGCCTAAGAAGACCAAGAGAGAAGGAAAAAAATATGCTTTGAACTTGTGTTCTATTAAGGGTGGAATTCGGCTGGGTTTATTCTTAGCAAGCCGATAGAATACCAAATATGTAGATAGATATTTCCATATATTTAGTTCGCCACCTCAATTTATACTAGGGTAATGTTGGAGTTAGGGCATTGGATTTTTCGCATTTATTTGCATCTATTTGGATTATCAGAATATTGATCCGATTTTAGGATCTTACGATCCTACGATTTGACATAGTATGATTTGGTATAGAAAAGTCGATCCGAATCTCGTGTAGAATCCCAAATTTGATAAGATTTTAATCCGAATCTTATAGAATCGTAAGATACCGATCCTAATTGTTGGGATTGTCTGTTAGGCACGAATTATGTATTGTTACATATATTTTCAGTCTAGTGTTTGGAGTTTGTAAGATCTTATAATTCTCGATGTGATTCTACAATCTCAATCCTTTAGCCTTCCCCATCGATCCTACCTTGGATCCCGATTTTTCAAAGTCTTGGTGTGCTTTTGGAACAACATATTTGTGGCCGGTATTCCTAGTTTCTTAATCAGGCTTGTTGAGCAACGGCTTTTTTTTATAGGTAATGTCTTTGGGTTGATAATGTCTTGTTATTGAAGCCTATTCAACGAGCTTATCTAAGTTTTCCTGTAATTGTATTAAAATTTACATCACTTTTTTGGAATCATAAAAACATGGAAACTCCAATGATGGCTCCTTCTCAACCCTGCACATATACTCCGGAAAAAAAGAAAATTTATTTGAAGCAAAATGACTTGTCATTTGTCGAATGACAATCAATGAGTTCTTTTTAGTATAATAAGAAGAAGACGTAGCCGACGATGAATTTTCAGATTGATGTTCTCTGAGTTCTCTTAAAAGTGGGCGAGGCCTCTTGGATGTCACTTTAGAAAGGATGTGAATCTGCAAAAGGTTTACCATTCTGTCACTTACCATTCTGCTTGGGTTGCTACTGATCGCTGTACCAAATAACTGTTACCGGAAGATGAATTATTATTTAGCTACAATAAGCTCCTTGCACTGGGCCAGGTCTTCTCCAGTTTTGTTTACTCTTACAGTTGGGATTATCAATAGGACTTTCAGTTTTTCACATATCTTCTTGCTTTCAAATCTTGCAAAATGACTGCTTTAACTCTACTATTACTTTCACCGTAAAAGTGTAGTAAGTAATGCAGGGAGGAAAAGTGCGAAAGAGAAAAAGAGAAAAAGGAACAATAGAGAGGAGTGTAGAGAGCGGAAGGACAGAATTAGTTTATCTTTTGTATATGTATGATATTGAAGTCATTTTGTCAATACCGTTGCTAGAGTCAGTGGTGCACGTTGTTCTTCAAACCACACAAGCTTTATGCCCCTTTGTTTGGAGGAATGGAGGTGAAGCACAAAGGTCAGTAGTGGTAAGTTGAAAATTTTCCTTTTAATTTCTTCTCTCCAGTATGATATAATTGATGGATGATGATTTGTAATGACTTTCTCACTGACGAAAGGACAGGTGAGTTCTTAGAATTTGTCTAGAAGAATTGATTACTTTAATTTAATTTGAAACATCATAGAATTAACGTTCATTTACTTCTTTGCAATTCTAAAGTTGCCTGTGTACTAATATGCTGATGATGTTCATTGAAATCCTTTTCAATTCTCAAATCAAGTTACATGGACCTAACAAGATCATCTTTAGTGCCTGTATTATCCTAAACAATCTTTGTTGCTTTTGATGCTCTAATAGCATCACTTTACCTGATTAATCCCTTTGATTTCAACTGTTAATCTCTCTCTTTCATTTTTAATTTGCATTCTATGCACTAATGGCTTCCATTTCTGTGTTCCTTGTTCGATATTTTACACTTCAAGAGAAGCTTTGCAAATCAAATAATTGGCAAAGAGCAAAACCCAAAAATGATGTGGTTTCACTTTTATCTAAGATAGAGTTGGAAGAGGTAAAAATGATTGTTGGACTGGCAGAAAGGTCGCAAGTATCCCTGCAGCCATGGCAACTGCTATAATACCTTTTTGAGGAGCATCTGTGCTGGATACCTGTTTACATTTCTATGCCTGATACTATGGATGCTCATTGGTTCACTCAGATTTCTACACATTTCTTGCAGGCTTTCATTTGATTGCAAGCGGTTTTAGCGTCACTAAATTAGGAGAAAATTGGAAAGGGTACACAAAATTAAACTTAATTGTAAAAAAGTACACAAAAAAAATGTTGGGTAATTAAGTCCTTAATTTTGATACTTATTTGTATTTAAGTACATTATTTGAATTTTATATTTTTTTTTGTGACATTTTTATCCTTCATTAATCCATGTGTATTTTCTTTGAAAAGTAGTACATTAAACATCTCCTAGTTTTATAGGAGAACTTTAATATTTCATATTTGTATGTCCTTCCTTGATTCATGCGTATTTTTTTTGGGGAATTAGTTTTGTTTTTAAATTATATTTAATGCACCTTAATTGATGCGTATTTTTTTTTTTGAAAAGTGGTTTTGTTTTCAAATTATATTAATATTTGAACAGTGTAACAAGTTATTTACACAAAATATTATACTATTACATTTTGTCAAACATATATTTTCATATAATTTCATTCAAAACAGTCTATTTTCGTTTTGAATTTGTTACCATATGTACAAAATTATTGAACACTATTTTTATTACAGTGTATTGTTATACTGTATTTGTTACACTATTATGGAGTTCGGATATTAACAAATTTTGAAATTCAAACAAGTGATATATTATAAAATAAACGAAGTATTAAAATTCTTCTATAAAACTAGTAGTAGTAAATATTTAATGCATAAATACAATTTAAAAATAAAACCACATTCCAAAAAAAAATACGCATGAATCAAGGTGCATTAAAGATAAGAGATTTCAAATTAAATAACCTTAAGTTTAAGCGTTTAATAAATACCTTGTTAAAGATTTTAGGAAAGAAAATTTTACAAAGAGTAATGTTATGTATTTCAAATTTATAACCCAAATTTGCATCCTAAATCAAGGAGGACCATTGAATCAGTGAGTCCTATTTAAAAATGGGCATTTAAGTCTTTGTAAAAATGAGCATTTATGTATTTGTATATCAGCTGTGTACTTTTTTTCAACTATTTTGTTTTATATACTTTTTTATAATTATGTCTAATTTGATATATCGGCTTTCAGAAGACCTCTAAATTAGTCGGACTATTTTTATCTAATTGTATCTTTTTGGCTCAGATGTCGGCTTGGTTGTAGTGTCAGTGGAAGGTAGAAATCCACTAATATTGCATGATGTCATGGCATGGTTTGATTTAGTACAATTTATCTTTCAGTAATGCTACATTGGTCAAATTTTTGGATTAAATTTGGAGTCTAAATGACATGACAGCTGACTTGGGCTTCTTTATTTGATGTCATGTCATTTGGGCCCCATAAAGACTCTAAATAATATACTGTCATGTCATTTATACTCTAAATTTGATTCCAAAATTTAGTCTGCATAGCATTACTGTTTATCTTTTGAAGTAAATTTTCTAATAAATCGTGCTCCATTTTTGGGGATTTCTTCACCAGTCATCGAATGTACAAAGCTTTTTAAGTCCTAATTAAAGAAACCTGAAAATTTGTAGGAGTGGGCAGAGGGGTAGAGTGAAATACCAGTCCAACAATCTCATAATCTGAAGTGGGTAAGAAATACGGGTATTTATAGTACATGGCTCGGGTAAGTCGGGATGTCTAAAGGATTGCCCGCTGCAATCCTCTGACACTCCCGTTAACTCACAATTGCTTCGATTGCAACGATACCAATAGCTGCTAACCGCAAGCCACGTGTCTCAACATTAATTAAGGTAAATGTGACATTAACCCCACGACTCCGAGGAAGGTGCAAAAGCAGAGTGAAAGGGAAACTCCCAAGATTAATGATCGTGACTGGTCACCACGGGACCATGAACTCGAGAGGACCATGTATGCAATGCCCCTAGTGTGCTCTTACCCGAGATCCTCCTTTCCTTCTCAGAACCGTTCTTCGAGAACTTTGTCAATGTGCCCAATAAAAGAAACTCACATAATTTTGGTCCTTTAACCACCAATTTACATGTTTCATTATCCCCATATATTGATCTAGATTAATAATCGTAGTTATCTTAGGAGTTTTCCCTTGAAGGTGGTCTTACTACCCTGTCCCTAAGTGGGAACCCCTCCTCTTAGTCTAGTGAGTCAATCGAGCAAAAGTGTCTAGGATACCATTCCTACAGTAGAGAGACGAGTCTCGACGAGATGGTCTCAAAGACTTATGCAGTTCCACTTTTGTCCACCTTTAGTGAAGGATCCATTTTGCTACTTCTAATGCGATGAGGGTGTGTTTCTCCCTTTTGCGGTGTTGTGTCTAGGTGCATCACACCCATCCATACCAATCCAATTGGATCCTCTCAGGTCCCACATTCATGTTAGCTGATCATTACTACCACTTGTCCAATTATGATGTAGACACGTGTCTTGAATTTATCGGGTAGTACAATGTTGCATGCGGCCTGATGGATATGATGATTGAACACGATATCAGTCCAAATGCAGCACCTTTCATGCTATTCAGCTGCACAACATTAGACTTCAGTGCGGTCTCTTTCAAGGAATGCCTTTTGAAAAAAAGGATGAACTAGATAGGAAAAAGAAGTTGTATTTTTTGCCCCATCTAATTATTGTTGGTGTTGTTGTTGGTATCTTGGTATGCTCCTTTGTTCTCTATAACATTGGTTGTCCTCGTGAAATATGATAATCCAGTCTTTGTGTTAGGCACGCTATTATTTTATGCATGCGAGGATTCTTCTACGCAAATCCAAAAACCAGAGTCTTGAAGAGGATCAAACCAAGGATGGTGATAGGATTGGCAATCTGCCAGATGAAATACTTCAATGCATCCTATGTTTCCTTTCGACTAAAGATGTTGTTCGAACACGCATTGTATCGCGAAGATGGTAGTACTTGTGGACGCCCATTCCTAATCTTGATTTCGACAAAAGGTCACAGTAATAGACAGCTCTTCATGAATATTATGGAAAGAGTGCTAGTTCTTCACGACTCATCGAATATTATAAAATCCTCCCTTTCATGTATTCCATAATTTGACCCATTTTATCTCATTTAACAGTTGATTTTAACAAAATATATTTCATTTAGAGAATTGTTATGTCACCCAAATAAAAATTCAAATCTTGTGTCTTAAATACATGTGTACCATATGTTGAATAAAAATATTGTGGCGGTGTTTGAAAATGTTTATGGTTTTTGGTTTTCAAGAAATTGAAAATGGAGACAGTTTTAATTTTTTTTAAGTAAAAAATTAAAATAGAAAACTTGTTTGAAAGAATTTTCAGTTGTGGAAAAAAATTAAATTTAAAATATATATATTATTATAAGTGACAGACAACTTTTCTCTCTTCCAAGAATAGTGAGTGAAGCTGTCACATGTAAGAATAAAAATCATGGGGTAGTGATGTCGACTAAGTCATCATATCCTGCAAAAGGATCCTGACTATCTTGATACGGATCCAGGGAAGGTGTGACTGATGCCTGGGAGGATGCAGAAGAATTGCTTTCACTAGCTGTTTGTTGAAGAAGCTTTTGTGCTAACTCAATGAGTGCGGTAGACTTCTTTTTGGATTGCTTCCTAGAATTCTTAGAGGAGGATTTTTCTGTTTTACTAAGGATGGTTGTGCCGATGATTCTGCAGGGGCAGAGATCTTGAGGGATGACATAACTTGTTTGACTGGAGTTGCCGGAGCTTGATTGGTTATTCCTATAACCATGATTGGGGTAAGAACCTTTACTGGGAACTCTTGCTGTAACTGTTCAATAATGCGTTGATGCTGGAACTTGGGCCACCATTTAACACGGAACTGTCTGATAACATAATTAGCTGCAATATCCCATTTCCAATTGCATATCCATAAGACTTTATGTTTTTTTTATAAAAATTAAAAGACTCGGAAACTGAGACTTATGTTTACTAGGTTTATAAGCAGATGAGAAATAGGTCACCTGATCTTGAAGATCACGTGAGAGGATTTCAAGCATGGGGCCGTGAACCTGCCACCATTATGAAAACCAACAAGAAGCTGACTTTTGAAATCCTTGCTAAACTGTATGAACCAGGAGTGGGTTAAAGACTCATCCTGATAGAGGATAAGTTTATACCGGGTTTGGGATACCAATTTTTACTAGTACTGGTTAGATTAACTTTGAAAAAGTTAATTTCTTAACGTGTTGGTTATCAAACTGTTCTTCTAGTTCTTTAATTTCAGAATCAGTTGAGCTTTCGGAGCTGCTGGTTTCTGAATTTTGAGAAGTTTGGTTGATAATTGTTACTTGGGATGGTCCTAACTGAGATTTCATTTTGTGGATAATTTCTTCAATTCTGTGAAGATTTTGCTTATCTCTTAATCTTAAATTAGTTCTATCTTCAGGTAGGTTGATTAGAGGTTTCTCTAATTTTTTATTTGAAGATGGCTTGATTTCATTGATTTTAGTTTCAATTTTATCAAGCTATTTTCCTATAATTATAAGGCTTTGGTTGGTGAAATTATTTTGCTCAATTACTTTTTTATCAGATTCATTAGTGGGAAGCTTAAAAGGTGAGGCTGTGACTTCAGTATCCAAATGGCTAAAAATTATGGTCTCTACTAGAGGATGACTAGAGGTTATTGTGGAATTCTCTGGGGTTTTTCACTTATTTTTTGTTACTAATTTTACTTCTTGGTGATGGGTTTCAAGATAGTCAAAAAATAGAATTTTCAATTCTATTTTGTGCATTAACTTAACCCATTGTTTCATTATTTCTTTTTGTTGGTTACTATTGAATCTTTTAAAGTAATTCTGTCTTTTAGATTCATTTTCTTTGGACTTAAAATCTTTACCTAATTTAATCATGTTGGGTAAGAATAAATCATTTTCTTTCCTAATCATAAGTAACTGGTGGTTTACTGGGGCACTGCTTTGTAAATCACTGGCTGTAGGTGAAGGGGTGAAGTCATCTTCTTCCTCTTCATCTTTAGGACTAGGTTGTGAGATACTCTGATGTGGAGTGTAACACGGTCTACTAATTTGTGATGTGGAATTATCAATTCCTTTTAACTTAAATTTTCTTTCTAATTCACCAACTATTTCTCTATCTCTTCTGGAGATACGAGAATGTGAATATGATTTTCTTCCTTCATTAATTTGAATAGGCTTACTAAATGGTCTGCTGGATCTACTGGATCTGGCAGAATCACAGGAGATTCTTACTAATCCATCAGATAACTGCTGGATATCCTCTACATCTGTAGTGGTGCTCTTATTGTTTTATTTACTGAAATTTTCATTTTCAACTATCCAAGAGTCTGGGAGCTTAACATCCTTCCAAAGGATTTGCTTAGGGACTTGGATATTTGACTGACTTGTACTAGATTGGATCAATAAAGTACTATCTTTTGGACTTTTCTTTAATACATGCATATTAAGGTTTGTGGTAATGCATTTATAGTAGATCCTATAGATTAATATTATTGATTTGGTTTCTTTAACTAATCTAACAATGTCCCCAGAAAGCTTTATTCCTAAAGTTGAAGCCATCGTGGTGTTAGGGCATTCTAGACTTAGTGTGAAGTCAGGAAAGCAGTTGAAGTACACTGGACCGTTATGAAGGCCAGTTTCCATTATCTCAAGGATACTGGGTTTGTAATCAAGAAACCTAGCATCTCTTAAGGCTAATAAGGTTGTTGCATTCATTCCTTGTTGAATGAGTGGTTTAATTGCTACCTGAACTAAACCAAGGTAAATAAAGTTTAACCCTTTATCCCTATGTTTTTTAAGGGTTTGTTTACTAAGTAATTGACAAATTTTTTCTTCCTTACGGAGAGCATATAGTTGTTCAATTGTTTTTACTTGGAGTTCCTCGTTGAATGCTTTTGGGATCCAACTGGTTTTATAGATTTCTTTAAAGGATACCTTTGGGATGTTCCATCCACTCCAATCTACTTGTGACTCCTGATACTCATGTTCTTCTTCATTCACTACATTAGGTATAGTGTTCATTGAAGATTTAGATGAGCTAGCCATAAAATATATATATATTCATACAAGTAAAATGGGGGTGAGGATAAGGGTATGAATTTTATTTATTGGCACAAACTCGACACAAATTTAACCTGACATAGAACTTAAAAATGACACGATTAATTGACATAATTGATCGATGACTCAAAATAAAATAAGACACGAATAATACAATTAATAGATAATAAAAATAAAAAAATAAGTATTTCATTATTTTTTAAACATAATATTATTTGAGATATTAAATAATAAAATATTTTTTTTATTTACACAAACATAACACATATAAAAAATATACGATAAAAAATAAAATAACACGACACAATTGACACTAATGACGATAACGACAATAATTAATTAATCTGAAAGCCCATCATAATCATAACAAAACCGAAAAGGGAAAGAATCAAAGCCCAATTTGGCATGATATGACACAATGAATAATCAGCCATCAGTGCTTCTAGAGGTCCCTTTCAATTCCTTTAATTTTCTTTTGGTTATTTTGGGTTAAATATTTATGTTTATATAGTTTGTCTCGATTAAGATCCAAAAATTCTCTCTTACGCTTTTACTCAAAGGTTGATCAAGCACAATTAGTTTCACGTGAACCAAAGAGGAATGATAATAGAATTAGCCCTTCTTTGAAATTATATTGGAAAAATAGGACTTAATTGTGTTAAAAAAAAAATTAATAGGACTTATTAGTTATTTTTCTTTTTTTCTTTTTAAATCAGAAAAACCTTAAAACTGGTTGATAATCAACACAACACAGCCTTTATAGACCAATGAGGAAACTACTTTAATTGAGATAATGATTAATAGTGCTGTTAATTAAATTGAGTAGTTTGAATTTAGCTAGAGTTCAGCTTGGGTTTAGCTGGTTCAGATTCGATTCGTTTTTTAAATGAGTCCAAACTTGAAGTCCTTTATATCAAATCAAACTTTTTACTCAAATATTAATTTAAATTTGAATAAAAATTTGAGTCATAGTTGAAGATATTCTTAAGAAACAAGCCTTATAAGCCTGATTCAAATTGGACAGGCTCGACTCGTTTAGGTATAAATACTCAGGCTCAGCTCGAGCTCGACTTGTTTTTAACTTGTTCAAGCTTGACTCATTTTTGAAATAAATCACACTTGAACAAATTTTTAAACTCAATTAAAGAATAATTTTTTTAAATTCAGTGCGAACTCGTTTGACTAACTTTTAAACTCAATTAAAGAATAATTTTTTAAATTCAGAGCGAACTCGTTTGACCAACGGCCGTAATGATCAACACAATACAGCACATATAGGCCAATAAGAAAACTTGCATAAATGAGAGACGCGAGACCTTTGACGTTTGCAATTTTATTAGGTTGACCACTGTGAAACTTCTCTTTTACGCCATTGATGCTTTCTCTTTCCTTCAATTCCTTGCAAAAATGATCGATCATGGCCGACTTAGCCGTGTAAAAAAATTGCAGGTCTTCTCCTTTGGTTCGATTTTCTTAATAATCATATTCTCCTTCAGTTTCATCTCCAACGTTTCACTCCATTCTGTTGCCTCTGAAACCAAAAGAAACCTTCAAGAGCTTCAGACCCATAAGGCACGGCAGCCATTGAAGTTAACTTCAAGTCCAGAACTTCACGCCGTGAAAGAAGAGAACCCAGAAGCATATACTGAAGATCATGCCGTGAAAGAAGATAACCCAGAAGCATATACTGAAGATCATGATCATTTAGACAGAGAGAGAACGTTTATGCAACCAAAACGAACAGAAAATATCACACTTGCTAATGGTTTAACTGCGTCAGAGATAGGTTAAGCTCAGTTTTCTTGTTTCAAATGCTGGACATGATTAGTGTTTGATGCCTATTTTACTGGATGATAAATTGAAGTATGTTAGTACCACAATCAAAAAAGAAAAGAAGAATAACATAAAAGAAACACTGAAGAATGTTTTCAGACACTTAATTAATGTTAAACAAGTTGAAATGTGGTGGCAAATCCCCAAGGAGCTCCTCCTCATTATAACAATGAAGGCCCTGTTATGATGGTCTAAGTAGGATGGTTTAATTTTTACAAACCAGTCTGTTACTGACTAGATTTCAGAATATTATGATTTAATCAAGTGGTATTTTACACAAATATTGATTTAACTTGTATAGCTAACCATCTTATGTATGCTATTCTATAACCCTAGGTTGATATTCTAACAAGTGGGGATTACTATGATAGACTAAAAATAAATTTTGTTTATATGTATCGATTATAAAGCTTGTTTGATTATAAAGCTTGTTTGCATCACGTGGTCGCATCCTCAATAATACATTGAAGTTGGTATAATATGGTAAGTTATCTTTGAATTTAGACAATTTTGGCTCAAAAAAAAAAAAATAACAATTTCACAATTTTCTGTAAAAATATTTTACCATTATACATATTTATTTGAATTTGGTGGTTCTTGTGCTTCAGCATGGAATTGTGCAATCACTTTTTTCTTTTATTTTACTTTCATTTTCTATTCTTGTTTCCAATCATTCTATTTGTATTTATGTTGCTGCTTAGTTACTATCCACGATGCAAGCAAAATTTTATCAACTTAATTAGTAGGGGTGCAACTTGTGTTGGGCAACCCGATTTCAACTCGAGCCCAATTCAAAAAAATTAAAATTTGGGCAAGAGTTTTTAATACTTGGGTTGGGCTTGGGTCAAAAAACTACAACCCGAATTCAATTTGGGTTGGGCTCGGGTTAAGGCCTCATGAACCCGAATTCAACCCGAACCTGACAAATTAAAAAAATATATATATATCATTAGCACTGATTTTTCATTTTTATTCTATCGTTCTCTATTTCTCTCGTTTTCTCAGCCTCTCTCGTTAAAAACTTGATTAAAGTTATTAGTTGTTAATTTAGGTGAATATTATGTAGTATATGTATTAGGTTTAGAATAACAAATCTATTTTGGGCTCTACCCGAATTAAATCCGAATTAAACCCGTAAAGTAACTTGAAATTATTAACCCGAATTCAACCCGAGCCCGCCTGAATTAAACTCGGGCAGTGCTCGGGCGAGTTCCCCAACTCGAGTTAGGGTTAGGGTTGAAGATTATATACCTAAGGTTGGATTATGGTTGATTGTCCAACCCGCTCGAGTTGCACCCCTATTAACTAGATATAAAGTTTTGATCAAAAAAAAAACTAGTTATAAAGTAAAAAATAAAATCAAAATAGTTCACGTGCAACGTACGTGTGCACCAACTAGTGAAAAAAATAGAACGTGATTTGTTTATGTACTAGTTATAGACAATTCATACACGACACGAAGCCGATCGGATATAATTTATTAGACACGAATTAATAAACAAATCAAGTATAAGTGAAATATTTTTTGACACAAAAGACTCGACACAAACTTGCGTCACCCATCATGATTGACAAATCTAGATGTAACTTGTTCAGAGTAATAAAAAAGTAGTAAATATGAGGAAATATTGTAGTAAATTGAAGGAGGAATTATGCCAGAGAGCTCATTTCCTTGAAGATTGTTTTGGACAAGTGAAATGGCCTTTAGAACAACTTTGACATAGTGAACTGAACTGGTCTAGAATCCTCCCTCCCAACAAGCTCATTATAAACTAAATCTAGCACTGTAAGTTCTTTGCAGTGAGTGAGATTAGTTTGAATATTTCCCATTAGTGCCATTGTAAGTGGGATTGAGATGTCGTAGGTGTATTAAGCGTCCCATTTGTTCTTGAATTTCGCCATTGTTTCGAATGTTGAGAACAGTAAGAAATGTAAGGTTGCCTATTGTTAGAATAGGTGATTCATATTCAATTTATGAAGAGGAACACCAAGTTCGAAGATAATGGGACAGTTATTGGAGCGAAACAAATTATTGCCGGATTGAAGATTAGTCGGAGTGCTATGCCACCGCTACCCTGAGGTATGGAGTAGTAGAGCCGCACGTGTCTTCTGGATTTGTCCTAATTAAGGTTGTAACCTACATATCTTAAGTTGTAATCTTGTTTTTAGTGTGGAATAAAAGACAAGACAGCCGCACACTCGTAAGCAAGTTGCCAAATCAAGTAAATTTTTGTTTTCATTTTCTAATTTTTCTGTTTCTTTGATTGTTTATCGCACATAAATCACAACACCTATGGAGGTTGGTATGGAACAGACCAATCTTTTCGACTCCAAGTTCAGGATGATGACTTTCCCATTGGAGGAGGGATTGCATATAACACCTAGGCAGTCGCAGTGATGAAGAGAATCATTCCATGAAGCACAAAAGAAGAATCTCAAGATCAAAAGTTGAGAATAACCATTTGAAATTCATACAATACTGCACCAATTTTTTTGGGAATACGAAACTAATGCTAGAAGATTAGGCTCTGTGCGATTTAAATTTGCTCAACTATCAAAAGAAAATGTCAAACAACAACTCACCTCATCAACCAACGGAAGACAATTAAACATGCCTAAAACAAGGACGGATCTGTTGGTAGGCTAAGGTGGGCTGAAATAAAAAAAAAAAAATTTATCACTAAGTATCAGCCCACCCCCACCCCAAAAAAAAATCCCATCCAACCCAACTAACCCAACCCAGCCCACCTGCAAAACTTCCCCAAAATCGGTACAGTCCCATCCAACCCACCTGCAAAGATTCTCTCTCAGGTAAGTCCCTTCCCCAAATCTCCGAACAAGCAATGACACAACACACAGACGGCTCTTGCTCTTGGTCTAATCCTTCCATCAAATCTCTCTCTCTAGACTCTAGTCTCTACAGATATATCACACAGACCACAACTATGAGGATCAGGAAGCGTTTTCTACCATTTTCTCTCTCTTCAGTCCCTGACTTAGATGGACTAAAGCTTCTTCCAAGCGTGCCTTGAGGCTGCTTGTAGTTCTTTGGATAATGAAGTAAATGAAACTCCACTTTGTTACTGTTCAATTTGGATATTTTCCAATTTCCTTTTTCTAATTTCCTTTTTTGTTTTTTGGGTTATTTTGAAATAGTTGAGGACATTGGAGCAAGAAGCTCATCCAACATTGGAAAGTCGCTTGGTAGCGATTTCTGGACGTGTTCAAAAAGTTTCCTTCATTAAGCTTGTAAGTTGTAACTCTGTTTAGAATGCATGGTTTAATTTTTGCTTGTGGATTATTTTGCTTTTTTTTTTTTTTTTTTTTGTAGAAGAAATTTCTATTACAATCTTGAACAATGGTTACATACAAATCTACAATGAGCCTTATTTGGTGACTGAACATGACAATTGAACCAAGAAAACAATAATGAATATAGGTAAACAATTTGTAACCCACATTTAAAATGACTTGTAATTGGTCTCTTTTGTGTATCAATTTTGTGTTGGACGCCTTCTTTGCTTCCTCGTAGTATTGGTTTCTTCTTGTGTATTTGTGCATCAAAACTATTAACTTGCATACTTGAGTTTGAGACCTTTCTCCATGGACCGGTTTGCTGCTATGGTCCCCTGGATAGGTGAAAACTCAATTTCTTTCTTGTACCCATATTAGCCACCTTTGGAGCAATGAGTGTCTTCTATTTTAACATCGAAGCCACATATCTAACAAATATCAAAATCCTATCTTTGTGAAGCAACCCTTAAACTCGGTCTCCGGTCAAGTTGCAGGCTACTAATTTGCTCTTGAGATCTATTACAAACAGAACCAGGAAAAGGATTTGCACAAAAATTCTCCTCTAGTCTTGGCATTTCTCCTACTTGTCTTAGGTACGGTGCTCCAAGTCTGTTGGTGTGTGACTTCTTCACCTCCAAGGCATATTCTTCCCAAGAAATAGCTCCCTCATCCAACAAATCTATTAGTCTAACAAAATTCAATCTGTCAGGGTTGACTGTTTTTCGAAATCCTTCAAACCTCCTATGCCCCTGCACTACCTTCGCCATATTTCCATCATTTGTGTAAACAATTTGGATATGATATGTTCAATCTTTGGGTATGATATGTTCCTAGGTGTTTTTTGGGCAGAGGAACATAAAATTAGATTTGGTAATGAAATGTGTGAGGCTTAGGAATATCTATATGTTTGAATATGTTAGGTGAAATGGGCAATTTGGGTATGATATGTTCCTAGGTGATATTTGTTTCTCTAGTTTGTTTCTCTAATTTTCAACCCTATCTCTACTTTATTAGGATGAAAAGTCAAGAACGAAAAAGGGCAAAAATAATTTTTTCGTTCTTCAAAAAGAAAAGTGAAGAAGACACATCAAATTATAGTCTTAAATCTTTGAGTCTAGTAGAAACATCAACAAGTGTTGATGTTCCTATGATTCCTGCAGCTGTTGAACCTCAAGTTCCTTAACCTCAAACAAAAGTTCCAAGGATTCCTTTTGATGAGAATGAACTTGAACGAGATCCTGCATTGCATATTCCGATATGAAAACATCCTGCTTATAATCAAGATGAAGTTAGATGTGCTTATATAAAGTGGGGACCAAATCAACCTATCTTGACTGAGTATTCGAGGACTAAAACTAGAGTTCAAAATCGAAGATTTTCAGGAAAGTTGGTACAAAAAATTTACATGGCTAGAGTATTCTATTTCAAAAGATGCGGTTTTTTGCTTTCTGTGCTTTGTTTTTCAAGGTCGTGAACCTCTACATCCTCCATTTACCGTTGATGATTTTAGTAGTTGGAAGATAGTGAATAATGGGGTCAAATGTGTTTTTTTGTCACATATGAGAGGTCATGCTTCCACACACAATAATGTTGTGAGAAATGTTGAGGCATTGAAGAATATATCAGTGCACATTGATAAAGTTATGAATGTTCAAAGTTTAGAAGAAATAAAGAGAAATCGATTGCGTCTTAAGGCTATCATTGATAGTGTTTAATGACTTACTTTACAGGGATGTGCCTTGAGAAGTCGTAATGAATCTTTAATGTCAAAGAATCGTGGTAATCTAATTGAGATGATTAGTTTGATGACAAAGTTGAATGTTGAGATAAATGATGTTGTCTTAGAGAAAGCTCCAGGAAATGAAAGGTATACGTCTCCTATGATCCGAAAAGATATTTTGCATATTCTAGCTACTAAAGTAAGAGAAAAAATCCGTGAAGAAGTTGGAAATGTCAAGTTTTGTATTTTGGTTGATGAAGCAAAGGATGCATCAAATAAAGAACATATGACAATTGTTCTGAGATTTGTTGATGTTCAGGGTTTTTTGCAGGAGAGATTTTTTGAAATTGTGCATGTTAAAGATACCACTTCTTTAACTCTTAAGAAGAAAATATCAAAATTTCTTACTGGACATAATTTGCACATTCGAGATTTATGAGGTCAGGAAAATGATGGTGCTAGTAACATGCGTGGTGCATTTAATGGATTGCAAGCTTTGTTCCGCAATGATCGTGAGTATGCATACTATGTTCATTATTTTGCTCATCGTTTACAACTTGCATTAGTTGCAACTGTTGAAGATGAGATTTCAATATGACAATTCTTTTCCAAATTGATATGCATTATCAATCTTATTAGTGTTTCTCCTAAGTGTCATATAGAACTGTGATCTGCCCAGCTACTGAGATTGAAAAAGGGATAGCTAGTGGTGAACGAGAGACTGGTAAAAGGGCTAGTCAGATGGGTACTTTGCATTGAGCTGGTACTACTCGTTGGAGCTCACATTTTGAATCTATTTGCGGTCTGATAGATATGTATGATGCTATCATTAGTGTGTTTGAATGTGTGGTTAACGAATGATCTTCAAATACAATTCGTGGGGAAGTTGGTGGTTCTTTAATGGCAATGAAGTCCTTCGATTTCATATTCATATTGCATCTTATGCACAAGATTATGGGGATTACAGATATGCTTTGTCGGGCATTACAACATAAATTATTAGATATTTTGAATGCAATGAATTTAGTCTTATCGACAAAATCATTGCTTCAAACCTTGCGAGTAGAAGGTTTTGATTATCTCCTTGACCATGTGAAATCAGTTTACATGAAATTTGATGTTGATATACCTGATATGAGCACTTAGTACAAAAGGGCAAGACGTTCATGTCAACAGAATGATAACATTATAGTTGATCATCACTATCACGTGGACTTATTTAATGCTACGATTGATCATCAGTTAGAAGAGTTACATAATAGATTCAATGAAGAGACATTAGAATTACTTATGCTTAGCTCTGCTTTAGATCCTCGGGAAAACTTTAAATCTTTCAATCATGATCGCATTTGTTTACTTGCTGAGAAGTTTTATGCAACTGATTTTGATAGACAAGACATGCATCATTTGAAATGTCAACTGGATCATTATCAATTTGATGTGGTTCGCCATGAGAGGTTTCAAAGTATGTCTACAATTTTAGAATTATGTCATGGTTTAGTAGAAACAAATAAGGTAGAGTCCTACAATTTGATTGATAGGTTGATTTGTCTTATTTTAACTCTTCTCGTTTCTACGACAACTTCAGAAAGAGCATTTTCAGCCATGAAACATGTCAAAAGTGTTATAGAATCTAATAAAAAAGAAATACAAGAGATAAGAAAAGAGGAGGCTAGGATTTTATTGATACTGCATAATTCAATTGAATACAAAGAAATGATTTAATCTAAAAACAAATAGACTATATATAGGCTAAACAAAGGGAAAGTAAAAGACTATTCTACCCTTAATAAACAAAATAACCCTATATTTCTTAACACCTCCCCTCAAACTCACAATGCGGCAACTACAAGCATCGAGAGTTTGCCAACTAGAAAATGAAAACGGGAAATAGAATACGACTTGATAAAGAAATCTGTAATCTGCAAAGAAGATGAAACAAAGGGCAAAATAATGGTATCATGCTTGAAATGATGACGAGTAAGGTGACAATCGATCTCAATGTGCTTAGTTCGTTCATGAAAAACTGAGTTGTGAGCAATCTGAATAGAACTCTGGTTGTCACAATACATAGGAGTGGGATGAGAAAGAGAAACTCTCATATATGCAAGTAACCAACGTAACCAAACAATTTCTTTGGTAATAGATGTCATAGCACGATATTCTGTTTCGGTTGAAGATTAAAAAACAATAGATTGTTTCTTGATCTTCTAAGAAATAAAAGAATCACCCAAAAGATGCAGAAACCAGTAACAAACTTGCGATTTATGGGATCACTGCCATGATCAGCATCAGAGTATGCACACAGCTCCAAGGAAGAGGTGGATGGAAGTAAAAGACTCTGAAAGATTGTATCTCAAAGATACTGCAAAATACGAAGAACAACTGCCCAATGAACTGTAGTAGGAGAAGCAACAACCTGACTAACAACATGAACAACATATGCAATATTTGAACGAGTAATAATGAGATATATCAAGCTCCCAACAATAGTACGGTATAAAGTAGGATCTGACAAAGGTAAACCATCAAAAGAAGAATACTTTGCGTTAACCTCAATGGGTGTATCTACAGTCTTATTATCAGTAAGTCTAGCTCGCTCAAGAATATTTGCAACATATTTCGACTAAGAAAGAAGATAATCTCTGGGTGAGCATGCTACCTCAATACCCAAAAAATATCGTAGAGAACCCAAATCCTTCATTTCAAACTGTCTAGCTAACTTTGTCTTTAAAACTGAAATACCATAAATATCATCACCAGTAATAGTCATGTCATCAACATATAAAGACAGAATGATACGACCTGTATCAATGCACTTAACAAAAAGAGCAGAATCATGACTACTAGAAGCAAATCCAAGGGAAGAGATCATAACAGAAAATTTCTCAAACTAAGCACGAGGTGCTTGTTTAAGACCATATAACGCTTTCTTGAGCTTGCAAACATACCCAAAATCATGTGAAATACCAGAAGAGGGCGCCATATAAACTTCTTCTTGAAGATCTCCATTCAAGAAGACATTTTTAACATCAAGTTGATAGAAATGCCACTGATGAACTGAAGCAACTGCAATAAGAGTATGAATAGTAGTTATTTTTGCAACAGGAGCAAATGTCTCCTCATAATCCATACCATACTGTTGAGAGTACCTTTTTGCAACCAACCTAACTTTGTATCGCTCGACAGATTCATTAGAATTAGTCTTGATCTTATACACCCAACGACAACCAACAACACTCTTACCATGAGGTAGAAGAACCAAATCCCAAGTACCTGTCTTATGCAAGCAGAAAGTTCCTCATCCATAGCTTGCTGCCAAAGAGGATCAAGAATTGCCTCTTTATAGGAAGAGGGCTCAGAGAGATAATGAATAGAAGCTAAAAAGGAAGTAAAAGATGAAGAATAACAAGAATAAGCAAAATCTGGTAACTTTGTGGACTTACGAATGCGTATGGATTGACTTAGAGGTGAATCCACAATCTCAGATGGAGCTTGAGGGACCATAGGAGAAGAGGTAGCTTCAGGTGTACTAGAGAGTAAAGTGTTAGTACCTGCAGAATGATCAGTACGAATTGGTCGAGTATAATGTAAAGGTAACGGGGTAAGAACATGAGAAGGGGTATTTGAAGTACTAGAAACCTGAGATGACAAACTATTAGAATCCTCAGAAAAAGGATCTATACGAATAAGATCAGATCTAGTCAAGCTATGAGTAGTGAATGAAATAGAAAAGAAAGGTATATGCTCGAGAAAAACTACATGACGAGATATATAAAGTTTCTGAGTTATTGAATCAAAACAACAATACCCCTTTTTACCTTCACCGTAACCAAGAAAGACACAAATAGCAGATCGAGAGGATAGATTGTTGCGTTCAACATGAGGACGAAGAACGAAACAAGTACAACCAAAAAATCTAAAGGAAGAATAATCAGGGGCATACCCATACAACATTTCGAAAGGAGAAACACTTAAAATATGAGAAGATAAAATTGTATTAGTCAAACCTACAGCAGTAAGAACAACTTCACTCCAAAACACACTAGGAATAGAAGCAGACAACAAGAGAGAACGAGCAGTTTCAACAATGTGCCTATGTTTTCTTTCAGCAACACCATTTTGCTCAAGAGTATCTGTACACGAAGTTTGGTGAATAGTTCCATCTAAGGCAAACAACTCATCAAATTTATTAGAAGTGTATTCCCCTCCCAAATCACACCTAAAACATTTGATAACAGCAGAATGTTGAGTTTTGACAAGAGCTCGAAAGGTTGTATATATCTCAAAGAATTCAGAACGATGTTTCATTAAATAAATCCAACAATAACGAGTATGATCATCAATAAAAAAAACATAATATCGAGACCCTCCTTTTGTGGCAACAGGAGAAGGTCCTCATACATCAGAATGAATCAAATCAAATGGAGAAGAAGAAACAAAAATACTTCGATTAAAAGATAAGCTGAAAATTTTGTCGGTTTACATCCACTACAATTAGAAATACCACAAGTTTACAAATTTCCTAAAGCCCCTGTGGACGCCAAAAATCTCAAACGAGAAGAAGAAACATGACCTAGACGAGAATGCCATAAATAAAAACTAGAAGAAGAAGGATTCAAACGAAAAGAAGATAAATCAACACTAGTAGCAGCAACGCAACTGACACTTTTAACTCATCCAAAATATATAGTCCCCCCTTCCTACGGCTTGTCCCAATCAGCTTCTGAGGTTGCAGATCCTGCACATAAACAAGAAGAAGAGGAAAAGATGACTAAATTACCAGAATCACATAACTGACCAACAGAAGCAAGATTTAATGTGAGTTTCGGAATATGATAAACATTAGGGAGAGACAAGTGAGGTGTGACAACAGAACCAATACCTGCTAAAGGCAAAGGAGTGTTATTAGCAATCATAATAGGAATAGAAGATAAATGAGATACAGAAGCAAAAGATAAAGAATCTGGAGACATATGATGTGAAGCACCAGAATCCAAGATCCATACAGAATGTGACATACCTGAAAAACTATGAGGCAATTGACCTACGAAAGAAAAAGAAGACATAACTTGTGGCTATAGGAGAGAAACTTCTGAAATTGCTCAGCCAAAGTACTAGAATTGGTGAAAGGACCTGATGAAACTACTGCTACAATATTAGACTGTGGTGGTTTGTAACCCTGAGGTGGTCTATGAGCATTTGATTGTGACTGGTTGCCAAGCTTCCAAGCTTGACATTGTTTTTGCGATTGATTATGCTGTCTTAACTTAGGATATTGAGCCTTCCAATGACCTTTTTGCTTACAGATACTGCACTCGTCGAAGGCAGTCCTTGTGTAAGGCTTATTCTGATTATTAGAGAATGGTTTAGAAGGTACTGCTAGCACAGAAGGATTAGAAGTAGAAAGAATTCCCTTTTCAGAATAAGACTTAAGGCGTATTTCTTCAGCCAATAACTCACTGACAACTGAGTCAACAGAAGGAAGTGGAGAATGATGCAAAATTGAACTTCTAAGTCCTTCAAAATCACTACGAAATGCCGTTAAAAATTGTACCAATCGTTGCTGCTCTCTACGAGCAATATAGGCACCACATGCCTTTAATTCGATCGATTTTGTAAGAGGCAATTGACCTCAAAGATCTGTCATAACAGAATAAAACTCCTGAATACTCATATTCTTCTGTTGAAGAGCTCGTATGTCATTCTTCAATTGATACTGCTTTGCAAAATTTAATTGAGTGAATAACCTTTGCAGATAATCCCAAACCTCATTTGCTGTCTCATACTTTGCCAACTGTGTACCTATAGAATGTTCAACAGAATTGTTAATCCAAGTAATAATTTTTGCATTGTCTGCTTCTCAGGCATCTATCAAAGCAGCATAACCCGCATCAGTATTCTTAAGTTTCACAGAAGTTCCACTAACATATCCCTATATCTTTTTACCCTTGAGAAAATTTCTCATCACATAACTTCAATACGAATAATTCTTTCCATTTAACCTCACACTCACAAGCGAATCGTCTCTTTCAGTAGCCATAATCAAAAAACAAAGAAAACCAAATTGCAAAAACGGAACGAATACCCTTTAAAAAAAGTTGGATCCGCGTAAGCTGTGTTTGAGATTAAGCCTGGTCCCATGAAACTTTGCTCTAATACCATGTTAAACAATCTAATAAAAGAGAAATACAAGAGATAAGAAAAGAGAATGCTACAATTTTATTGATACTGTATAATTCAATTGAATACAAAGAAATGATTTAACCTAAAAATAAAGAGACTGTATATTGGCTAAATAAAAAGAAAGTAAATGACTATTCTACCTTTAATAAACAAAATAACCCTATATTTCTTAACAAAAAGTACTCTTCGTAACAAGATGGAAGATGAGTATTTGACTGATTCGTTAGTTGTCTACATTGAAAGAGAAATAACGGAAGCAATCGATACAAATTCAATAATAGATGCCTTTTGTTCTAGGAATGATTGAAGAATCCAATTTCATTAGTAAGTGTTTATGAGTTTACATTTGTATTATTAAATATATGTTTATGACTTTACATTTGTATTTTGTTAATCATATGAATACTTAGCTTAACCTGCGATAAACAAAAATCCTGGCTCCACCCTTGACCTAAAAGATAAATTTTCAAGTGGTGTTGAAGTTACAAAAAAATTCTTTTGGCAGCAACCAAAAAGATTTGAGATACTGAAAGATGTTGAAATGGGACTTGCATTGGTGGATTAGTTTTGACAGCTCCACAAACTTTGGGTTTCCAGTGTGAACATCTATTTTGCTCGGTATTTTAAAGGCAACATTTTTTTTTTTTTGATATCAAAAAAAGGGGAGGAGTGACAAGTAGATAATAAGGCATGACAATAAGGGATCTCTCACTGCGAAATGTCCGATTTAAACAATAGCTACTAACCCGAAAGGACAACCTATCACTGCACAGCATCACCAAAGTTAAGCAACAAACCACATTATTCTCATAAATCAAATCATGCTTGACAACCACATGAAAGTCAATGATAAACTTAGATGTGCACCCGTAGACCACCAACTCGGATGATTTTAAAGGTAATTTGGAGCTTGAAAATATGATATGAACACTACCCAGCTGTCTTAAAGGAAACTTGATGAGTTAAACATCCAAGTCTCTGCTCCTTTGAATGGTTTAACTTGCAAGAAAACGATGACAGGGAGTATCCAAATGCTAGCTTCCATTGGCAGAAGACCAACTGATCTTGTTGCAACGTTATTTCAGTCACTACTCACAAGCTGGCTAAGACTCGGCGAAAGGCCCATGGCCCATGGACATGCCTAAAATCCTTATGGTCCATCGGACCATGGCCCAGTCCTGTCTCTCATATGGAGGACCATGGTGGCCCATTAAGTCAATAGCTTGTTGCCTACCCTTTAGGCATGGGTTTGGCATACCTGACCTCTAATCTTATCTTGTTGACGATTGCATTGATGAATTGGCCACCACATTTAAAAAGAACTACAAAGAGTTGATTACCGTCTTCAATAAACACTTTATCCCCACTCGACTACGTCACATTTCGATTTAATACACTTGATACACTATTTTAAAGATGTCATAGAAGAAGTGGACGCCTAATGAAACACTTTTGGCCTAATGGGAGACTTTTAAGCCGATCATAATCACTAGTGCTAATATTGCTTTTATTGATTAAAATAAATAATATTACATGAAGATCATTTGAGATTTTGTGAGTTTTTCAGGGAAGAAAATAAACTAATGTTGAAAAAAAATATATTTTTTTTTCTCAAGTCTAGCAGGCTGCGGGAAAGGCTCACGGCCTACCCCCCGAGCTAAAGGGCTGGACCATGACCTGTCTAGAAAGCGGGTAGGCCCATGGGGAATCAAGTTAGAAAATGAGGGGTAATGATCGGCATTGTCGGTGAGCAAAGTGGACTAAAAGGTTTTTGTTATCCAATGTGATCCCAGCAGATCATGAAGCAGTGAAAATGGGTCCAAATGATTAAAAAATAAATAAAAAATTAGAAGGGTCCCATGGAAACTAATCAGTTCTTTGACAATATAAACGAAGAATCAAAGCCCAACTTGGCATGATATGACACAATGAATAATCAGCCATCAGTACTTCTAGAGTGTCCCTTTCAATTCCTTTAATTTTCTTTTGGTTATTTTGGGTTAAATATTTATGTTATATACTTCTCTTGGTGTGTCTCCATTATGATCCGCTTACTCAAAGGTTGATCAAGTACAATTAATGGAAGGAGCTCACTCATAATTGGTAAGTTTCACTTGAACCAAAGAGGAATGATAATAGAATTAGCCCTTCTTTGAAATTATATTGGAAAAATAGGACTTAATTGTGTTAAAAAAAAAAATTAATAGGACTTATTAGTTATTTTTCTTTTTTTTTTAAATCAGAAAAACCTTAAAACTGGTTGATAATCAACACAACACAGCCTTTATAGACCGATGAGGAAACTTCCTTTATTGAGATAATGATCAACACAACACAGCACGGCACATATAGACCAATTAGAAAACTAGCATATATGAATGAGAGATACAGAGACCTTTGACGTTTGCAAATTGCAATTTTATTAGGGTTGACCACTCTGAAAACTTCTCTTTCACCCTATTGATGCGTTCTCTATCCTTCAATTCCTTGCAAAATGATCGATCATGGCCGACTTAGCCGTGTAAAAAAATTGCAGGTCTTCTCCATTGGTGCGATTTTCTTAATAATCATATTCTCCTTCAGTTTCATCTCCAACGTTTCACTCCATTCTGTTGCCTCTGAAACCAAAAGAAACCTTCAAGAGCTTCAGACCCATAAGGCACGGCAGCCATTGAAGTTAACTTCAAGTCCAGAACCTCACGCCCTGAAAGAAGAGAACCCAGAAGCATATACTGAAGACCATGCCGTGAAAGAAGATAGCCCAGAAGCATATACTGAAGATCATGATCATTTAGTGCCTCCGATCAACGTCACCGCCGAAGAAAGAATTGCTTGGTTCAAGAAAAAGTTGCCGGAGTTCAAGATATTACAATCAACAAGATTTACACAGCAATTTGATGGTCGAGTGAGAGAGTTCTTGAGGCACAAATGCAAGGTTCGGTTCTTCATGACATGGATATCACCCACAACCTCATTCATGGGGCAGAGAGAGTTTCTAGCCATGGAAAGTCTATTCAAATCAAACCCACATGGATGCTTGATAGTCCTATCAAGAAGTATGGACTCTGTTGCCGGAGATAGGATCTTTAAACCGCTACGCGATCGCGGGTTCAAGATCATGGCAATTACACCAGACTTGCCTTTTCTATTCAAGAACACTCCGGCTGAATCTTGGTTGGATGATATGAAGAGTGGAAACAAGGACCCTGGTGAAATTCCATTGGCACAAAACCTATCAAATCTGATTAGACTGGCAGTTTTATACCAATATGGAGGTGTTTACTTAGATACAGATTTCATAGTTCTTAAAGATTTCTCGGGTTTGAGAAATTCTGTGGGAGCACAAAGTACTGATGTGTCTGGCAAGTGGACAAGATTGAATAATGCAGTTCTTGTTTTTGATAGAAACCATCCACTTTTGTACAAGTTCATTAAGGAATTTGCAAACACTTTTGATGGAAACAGATGGGGACACAATGGACCCTACCTTGTCTCTAGGGTGGTGGAGAAAGTGAGAAAAACAAGGGGGTCTAGGGTCACTGTGTTGCTGCCGATGGCCTTTTATCCAGTCGACTGGACGAAGATTGCCGGGTTTTTTACGCGACCGAATGATCGGGCTTATTCGAAGTGGGTGGAGGCCAAGCTGCTTCAGCTAAAGAGAGAGACTTATGGGGTGCACCTATGGAACAGACAAAGTAGTGGATTGAGAATTGAAGAAGGAAGCATCATAGGTAGGTTGATTTCAGAGAATTGTGTTATTTGCGAACCTTTGAACAGTTCTTGAAGGAGCCATCGGCTTTAAAGGCGAAGCTTTTTGGGCTTAAGATGGTTTGGTTGTGTTGAAGTAGCAGGATGTGAATACATAGGATCATCTCATTCAGGTTCTTATTAGTTTACACTTTGCCTAGTAAGGTCCTTATTCGAGGACTTGTTAGGACTTTGACTCTATTTTTTGATTCTTTGTTTTCAAATCCCCTAATTCAGATTCAAGTTTTAGTTTACATTTTGGTTGAATCAGCTCCTGATTTCAGGACTTTTAACATAATTTTTATCTGTTCCATGATTCTTTGTATTTGATTTTTGCCTTTTTAATCCCCCTTTCAAAACTCCGGAAAGGCCCTTTGCTTGACTTGAGCTTGAAAGAGGTGGGCAGCCAGTGGCATGAATTACTCATTATGGGTTAATCTTTTGGTTGAGGGCTTTGTTATCGAAAATGTAGTAGATTCTGTGCAATTCAAAATATGGGCGCATTGGTTATTTCCGAAAATATCTTGAGAAAAAGTTTTAGCACTGATGTATCCCGTATGTACTCTAATTTATTTGAAGTATCCCAATGGTGTAATGTCGTCAATTTTATTAAGAAAAAAAGAGAAAAATTACTTTGATATCTTGTTTCAGAGAAATAAGTGGCACTTGATTGAGTCAATATCTCTATTTTGATATCGGCACCATCCCTATAGTGGTTGCCCCTTCACAGAATGAGAGGTGACCTTCGTAACACTCGTTAATGAAAAGGTTCAGCTAGGTATCAGCATGTTCTATTCTTCTAAACAACACACTTCATTTTTGCCATTGAAACTAGATAGATTTTTTAACAGTGAAAATCCAGGTGTGGCTTCACCTACCACAAGAATATATTAGGAAGGTAATTCCCGCCCGAAATCACTGGCGGATGTGGCGTTTATATCTTTATCCTTAAGTATCTACATGGAAAATTGTTCGTTTGTTTGTTTGTTTGTTTTTCGTAAGTAAAGATTTCATTAAACCGAAATGGTTTGTTTCTGGTGGGATATGTTCCAATCTGATCATATTTCTGCGTGTTGATATCAAAAATTTCAACGGCAGACCATAATCCTCTATCTTTGCAACCTCAACTTGATTCTAAAGCCTCCACGTTTTCATACTCGAATCTTGGAAATATCTTGAATGACTTTGTCCTGTTCAACTTGGGCATGCTGATTCTGAATTTTCTATTTTGGTAGGAAGTCATTCCATCAACGAAGCATCGGAGTTATTTCATACCTTGACAAAGAATATGCCCTGAATTATGATTTACGACAGACTAGTAGAGAAGAAGCATATTACAAAATAACTACCCAAATTTCGTGAATTGTACGTTGTTTTACTTTCAAGAGAAAGCGTCTAAAATAAGGAAAATGTTATTGAGACTTAATTTGATGATCTAATTTAAGGACTTAATAATGTACAATAATTGAATTGATTGTGGGTTCTATCTAACATTAGAACTCACAATTAATTCAATAATTATATTGAAGTTATATCATTAGTTCTCTAGATTAAATCCCCAACAAAGCCCCTATAGCATTGTTACTAAAATTGTAGTCCAAATTTCCTGAGTGTTAGCTATATGCACTCTTTGTTCCTGTCCTTCCACATGTTCCAGACAAAGTAGGTGAATATTATAGGCCATGGGATCTGTCTCCAGGTTTCTTTTTCATTCTTTTGACTGGGGTCTTGATCAGTGTGCCTATCAATACATTTAGCAAGACATTCCAGACTTTTTGGGCTTTGGGGCAGTCCTTTTTTAGTTTAGGATATGTATTGTTGCTTCGTCCACGGAGTTTTATATTGTGCATGTTGCTTCCCTAATCATATTTGTTGTCATGGGAGACAGAATTCGATGCGATCTTTTTTCACGATTATACACGTGACGTAATAATACTTTATCTAGAGGGGATAAATTGATTTTACAATTTAACGCTCAATAAATAGTAAGAATCCCTTTTAATTACTACAACCTAACTTAATTATGACGATTAATTTTAATTAATATTCAATAAATTTGCTAAACAATCAATTTTACGACTATCCCAAAAATTCTGAACCCAATTTGCACAAATATGGTTGAATAGATTATTAATCAACAAACACATAGGACACGTGTGTACAAATAATCACAAGTGTGTACAATAAACAAGAAAAAAAAAAGGGATTTATTAACGTGAAAACCTTCCTCCAAAAAAACTACAGGAAATTACTTAAGGTTCATCAAAATTTAATTCACTACTCTATAAGTCAACATATAAGTACTCGAGTCATATATGTGAAAACTTGTTATTTATAATTATACCTATTGAGTTATCAAAAATTTCTGCTTGTAATAGAAAACTTGGATGAAGAAAATGAACTTCACCATTGAATTCCTATCATGAAAATGAGTTCAACTAGTATAATATTGATTATATTTAGTATTGAGGTTAAATTAATATAAGTTAAATTAATTAAATAGGATTACATAAATTGCAAAAAAAAAAATAATAACAAGATTATCAATCATGGTAGCTTGTCATTGACTATTTAGCTGACAGGAAGGCAAGTAACATAGTTACACTGCCATTGCCGCCCAAGACGCTTCACCTGATACCGTCACTTCAGTATGGCACTCCTTATCATAGCCCATGACTTATCAATTCTTTTTCTTTTTCTTTTCTTTTTAAAAAAAAAAAAAGTGGAGGCAAAGAGGAGTCTCGAGCGACTATTCCGTTAGGCATTTATCGGTGATATCATAAGATCTCTGACTGCGCCTAAAACACCTCTTGGAACTAGATTTCACTAAGTTAGCATAACGATCAAACACTGAGCTCTAATAAAACTCTAAGACTCAAACTCTCAACCTCTAAGTGTGGAGTAAGCCGGTACGACCATCCTACTCGGTGGTCATGACTTATCAATTAATTTGGCAGTTGTCCCACCTTCGTAGCATATAAATATATCCAAAACCAAAGGAAATAGGAGGAGGAAATAATCGGGCAACCATTGGTCTTGAAAAGAAAAACAGAGAGAAAAAGAGGTCATCCACCATTGTTAAGGTGATAAAGCTTTTGGAAGGATCAATACATGTAAAGGGGTAGGATTAAAATTATCTTATTGTCTTCTTTGATCTATCGATTGTAGAGAGTATATATATATATATCAAACATGTTGGCTTATGCATGATGCAATTATACATATATTAGTGTATATGTGCGTATGTTTATATATACATTTGTATGTGTAGATCTCTCAAAAGGGTTTTGTATTTCCTAAAAAAATTGATAAAAACAATTTGAAGAAATGAAATCTAGATTGTCGGGTTACATAAATTGTATTTTGAGAAATGAAAAGAAAATCGATAAAGGAAGGATTTTAGGCAAAAAAAAAAAACTCTACTCTTTAGTTTTAGATACATCATATACCTACTTCCTAAAATTACAAAGTTAAGTCCAAGATTTTGTTAAGTTACAGAAAGTCCCCTTTGTGTTTCATGAGTAATAGATAAGTACCTGTTGAAATTATACGACGACTCCAGAAGATCATAAAATAGTACTAAAATAGCAATTCAGTATTTTTAATAGTTAGAAAATGTTTCTGAAATTGTATATTCACCCCGAACAGTTATGAGATAGTTTTAGAGATTATAAAATTACACCAAATTGCTAGATCATATATTTAGAAGTTATATAAAGACCCTGAAAGTTTCTAAAAGTCAAAATAAAGCGGCTATCATAAATTGTTAGCTATGTAGGAGGGTATTCCTAGGGATATATATATATACAACACTCATGGTTATGAACAATATATATTGATTGTATAAGTAAGGAGGTGATTCTAATCAACATTAACAACCACTAAAGTATGGTGACATAACCCCCCCCCCCCAAAAAAAAAAAAAAAATGGTGATATAAATGAGATGTGTTGACATATAAGGGATGATAAATGCCGACATGTTCACAATGGTGATAACGATATTAAGGTTGTAGTACCTACTCTTATATGTAGTAGCATGTCGGGATGGTATTGAAATGCTTATTTCTAATTGCACCATGAGTATACTGAATGGTATTGCGACGGAAGGTATATCACACGTGATAATCCTGGTTAGTATGCATAATCGATGATGTGATACATAAAATGATAACCTTGGAAACAATATGGGACAAGTAAGCAGGGATCGCTCCTTCCTTGAGTGAAAGACCCAGAATAAGTCTTGATCAAGCATAACATTCATCGTGGTGCAAGGTTACTCGTACCCTGATTGAAAGCACCTAAGAACGAGGGGGTGGGGTATACCAGAGATTAGAGCCCTCGAAGGGACCCAATGTTCCGCAAGTGTTTGTGCATAACAAACAATGTATTGGCATAAATATATATAAATTGAGATTGACAGTCTAGTAGGACCCATGACACGAATATGTAATATTGGATACATGCTAAATCGAAAGATTTCTTTTTACTTATGAGCATCTTATTGGTACATTTTATGTGATGCTTTAAGCATGTTATGAGCTTAACATTGCTAAATATTTGTCAAATATATCATTTGAGAATTTCATGCATGGATACCTATGACATGTGCGATGGGACTAAAACTCGATAGTTGTTTTTCTACTAGGCATTGACTCACTCTAACATTTTCTATGTTGAATAGATGTGCTCAGCTATTATATCTCACGTTAATGTTCTTGTGTTTTATTGTTTTGGTGCATTTTCAAAACCTACGAGCCTAATTGCGTCAATTAATGTACTATATTTGGGATGAATGTATAATTTTGGCATTTGAACTATGATATTAAATAAATGCTCAAATCACAAATCCTGTGTACCTAAGTTTTCTTTGAGAGTTTGTTAGATGCTCTGATTATCCAGTCTAAATTGAAGTACTCGAACTGTTCAATTCATTCGATGAATTACATCCATTGTTACATAAATCACATAAAACATGCTAAATCACCCCCCCCCCCCCCAAAACCAGGGCGTCACATTATACCTTAATCAATACCATGGTTAGATTTTTATTTCCTTGTTATCTCTCCGCCAAAGGGCCTCCTTCGATGTCTAGTATAACTTCACTTAAACCTCCTTGTTGTACAGTTCATCTAGGCCTCGAGCAATCATGGGCACATCAATGATATGCACACATCAATGGGTTTATTAAACCATCAAAATATTTTTCTCCAACTTGTGAGGTTGGGTAGAATCTCCAGTGGTAGCTTTTTGGGTCTTAGAAATTTAAGTTGTGGTGGAAGCTCTCAAGGTAGAAAGATGATTTTTTTTTTCTCTTAAAAATCTCACAAGAGGCTTAACCTAGGTGTTTGAAAGACTCTTCCTATTTATAGGTCCAGAGTAAGAATAGTCTTACTAAATAAAAAAACTCATATTCGCGAACGACCACTCGATCGGTGGGAGGGTAGTCATAGGGCAGTTGTCACTGGAATGAAAATCACATTTCA